AACACGATCTGACAGAAAAAGAAAAAACGACGCTCTTCATGGAAACTTATTAAGCTTTTTTTCTTTTTTTTTCATCGGGATAAACGCAAAAAACAGGTGGGTTTTGTCATTTCCAGGTTTGATGCTTGTAGTTCATTTATTTATTTGATTTTTTTATAACATCGAAACAGGCAAACTGATGTTTTTTTAACTTTTTTTTTAGCAGCATTTGATTTACATGCATATAGATTGTCATACTCATTTCCATTTGAATGGATCTTTGGAGCTTTGGCAGAATTTTTTTTTCTTTTCTCCTCTTTCTGAGCTCATAAAGTAAAATCGCCTGCATTAAATTGCTTTGAAAATTAGTTTTAATTAGTTGAATGTATATCAAGTGACAATGGCCGGGAACCTATTCCCAAGTCAGTGTGTTTGTGGGGAAATTTGAGCAGTTTGGCAGCACAATGAGCACCAAACTGGGGCTTATACTCTGATTTTTTCTTTTAGTTAGACTCTGGTTCATCATAAAGCCTGAAGTCTGCTCTGCCTGTAAAAGTCCCTGAAGCTGTTCTCATGTCTCGTGTTAAAAATGCTGATTCTGCATTTTGTGTGGCGACAGATGCAAAAGGTTTAAGACCCTGAGAGCTTTCCGGGGTTTGTCAGTTCTTTTTTTTTTTGTTATTCAAGTTTTTTATTTTCCTTTAAACAATCAAACAACTACGGTACAAAGCTTGCATGGTACCTACTTATTCTTTAATTATTTTTCAAATTTTCCTTCATCAACCAGGAACACACTCTATTTTTGCTTTTATCCTTATCTTTACGTTAATTGTCTGACCATGTGTTTTAAGCTGTTACTTTCTGTATAGGCTACTATACCATGCAAGAATCAGCATTTTTTACAGGAGACATGAGAACAGCTTCGGGAACTTTTACGGGCAGAACAGATTTTAGGCTTTATGATGAACCACAGAGGGGTGACGTGAGATTTTTTGGGCTGATTGAAGACCAGACGCGCATAATCTCATATGATACCGTTTGCCCACTTACAAAGAATGCAACGATCTACTATTTTAATCATATGTACATTCTAACATTGAGAGACAGAATCCAAAAAAAATTCCATAAATTCACATCATATGAATTTATAAAAATTGATAACCATCTGATGAGGAAAAATAAGCATTCATTGTAAGTGGGCAAACCTGCAAAATCAGCAAAGGGATCAAATACTTATTTCCCCCACCGTATCACACCACTGACTCTGATCAGTGTTTCTCCTCAGGATATCTTATTGTCATAGTGATGAGAAATGTAATATTGTGTCTACTCTGTAAGTCGCTTTGGATAAAAGCGTCTGCCAAATGCATCAGAATCAGAATCAGAATCAGAATCAGAATAAGGTTTATTGCCAAGTAGGTTTTTAGACTTACAATAAAGATAAACATAAACATAAACAGTCGGGGTTTGTCAGTTCTGATAACTGTGCTGAACCCCCTGCAGGTCCTCCTCCTCCTCCTCCATTCATTTATTCCAGAAATTCACATCATATGAATTTATAAAAATTGATAACCATCTGATGAGGAAAAATAAGCATTCTTTGTAAGTGGGCAAACCTGCAAAATCCCCCTCTGTATCTCACCACTGACTCTGATCAGCGTTTCTCCTCTGTATAGTTTATACAGCTTATCATAGTGATGAGAAATGTAATATTGTGACTCTGATAACTGTGCGGAACCCCCTGCAGGTCCTCGTCCTCCTCCTCCTCCATTCTTTAATTCCAGAAATTCACATCATATGAATTTATAAAAATTGATAACCATCTGATGAGGAAAAATAAGCATTCTTTGTAAGTGGGCAAACCTGCAAAATACTTATTCTCCCACTGTATCTCACCACTGACTCTGATCAGTGTTTCTCCTCTGGATAGCTTATAGTCATAGTGATGAGAAATGTAATACTGTGACTCTGATAACTCTGCTGAACCCCCTGCAGGTCCTCTTCCTCCTCCTCCTCCTCCTCCTCGTCCTCTTCACCATGAGCTGGGGGGCGCTGTACGCCCAGCTGGGGGGCGTCAACAAGCACTCCACCAGCCTGGGCAAGATCTGGCTGTCGGTGCTCTTCATCTTCCGCATCACCATCCTGGTGCTGGCGGCGGAGAGCGTGTGGGGCGACGAGCAGTCCGACTTCACCTGCAACACGCAGCAGCCCGGCTGCAAGAACGTGTGCTACGACCACTTCTTCCCCGTGTCCCACATCCGCCTCTGGTGCCTGCAGCTCATCTTCGTCTCCACCCCGGCGCTGCTGGTCGCCATGCACGTGGCCTACAGGAAGCGCGGAGACAAGCGCACCATGCTGGCCTCCAACGGGACGGAGAAGATGACCGACACCGACCTGGAGACGCTGAAGAGGCGGCGGCTGCCCATCGCCGGCCCGCTGTGGTGGACCTACACCTGCAGCCTCTTCTTCCGGCTCCTCTTCGAGGGCGGG